ACCGAGTGAAGCGGGTTCGAATCCCGGGTCTCGCACCTCTGATATTTTCATGTGCGAATCATTTCTAACATGACTTCACGTTTTCGACAAATTTTCGAAAGACATGTGAAGTCCGCCAACCCGCACTTTGCCAGCGTGGTGGACTATGGCCTGATCCCCCTCGTATTGAAGGGAGGCCCGCGCCCCGCAGTGGGACGTTAAAAAGGGCTGAATACATACAAAATATTCTTTATTAATTTATTACAATTCTATATAGTTATCATAAATGGTATTCGCCGAGAGGTTGAAATTTGTCCGTAACAGTTTTTTTATTAATAACACTAAAGCTCGACAATAACTAGCTACTAAACAAAAAAAACTAGTTAACGAATATAGCAGAAATGTTTTGTCTCTAATTATTATACATATATATATAGATACCGGCTTGCAGCATCATTTTAAAATTTAAAATGATACTTTTAAAAAAAAGTGGATTATTATTAATATTAATCAAGCGATCGTTTTAAACAAACATTAACTAACAATAAGCTAATTTTCTCACTCACGTGTCAGCATCTAACAGGCACATGGACGATGTCACGAACGGAAACTAGCTAATTAAAAAAATAAATAATTCAAGGAAACTATAGTAATATCATGTAACATTTCTAGTAAAACAATTGTGAGCTGTACCTGGAATTCTAGACAAACAGTTGTAATTTAAAATTTTCCGAGCGCACTGTACAAAATGAATCACCATGTCAAACGATATCTATATATTTTAATTGAATGTAAATGTTATTGTTAGCCTTTTTTGTTTGTTTTTTTTTTAATATTAGATAAAAAAACACGAAACTGACTTATAGGCATTAAAAACTTACTGAGGTAATCAGTATATGTACTTGGAAGTAGTGCCATCAGAGTCGGTGTTTTTTTATTTGACACCTGATAAATAGCCATTGTTTTCCATAATAGTTTTGTCGCCATTTTACCCTGAGTTTTAGTTGAATTTCGAAAATTCATTTCTTAGTGGTCAGAGAAGTGGTAGCACATTAGTACACGCTAAGTTGAATTATTCAAGTGAAGCGGGTTCAAATCTGAGTCTCGGACATCTTGACATTTCCATATGCGATCATTTTCGGCATGATTACCACTTGTTAATACGGTGAAGGCAAACATCGTGAGGAAACCTGCTTATCTGAGAATGCTTTATAGTTTGCCAAAGTCTGCCAACCCGCACTTGGACAGCGTGGTGGACTATGGCCTTATCCCTTGCATTGAGTGGGAACCCGTGCCCTACAGTGGGATGTTAAAAGGACTAAATTATTATATTAATATTAAAGCTTGGTTACTTGTATTATAGTAATTCACAGTTAAAATTTTTAAAATTTAAGCCAATGGTTTTGTTCTAGGCAAGGATGATTTCGTCAAGAAAAGGTGATTTTGTAGGGATATTTGCATGTCCTGGCTTCTCTCGCAAACTTTCTTAAACTTCTCTAAGCGAATCCCATCACTTCCATTAAGGGTTTTAATTTATAATGCCAAAAACCTTATACATTTAATTAATTTTGACACATACTATTCACTTATACTCAATTTATGGATTATTTTGTAAATCTATACAGATAAAGAAAATTTAAGTGTCTGTTTAAAATAACAGCTTTTTACTAAATGCCTATGAAATTATATACGGTACTTATAAGAAAAACACAATTTTTGTCTGTCTGTCTGTTTGTTCCAGCTAATCTCCGAAACGGCTAGATTTTGACGGGAATTTCACTGGCAGATAGCTGATGTTATAAGGAGTATTTAGGCTACTTTTGTTTTAGAAAAGAATAAGGGTTTCGCTCAAAAAAATTAAACGTACCTAGGGACGCAAATGAGCGAAGTGAGGGTAAGTCCCTAGTAAATAATAAACGTAATATAATTTCTGAGTAAAATCTAAAAACAATGTAACTTTTTTATAAGTGAAAGGGACCGGAGGAGTTATGTAATATGGCGCCAAATAACGAGTATTAAGCAACCATAACACAGCTCTCTATTTTATAGCTGTCGAAATATGGCGGTTATACTCGTATGTACACGTGGAGGCCAGCTGTCGTTGTGGATCATTGACGTCAAAAGTGATTGCAAAAAGTAAAAGTTAAGCAAACTTTTATTGTGATAATTTACATTATACAATAGAAACTAATTAATTTCTCAATTATTAATATGTCATTAATATGACATATAAATAATCTCAGACTAAAACAATTCTTAAAGTCTAAGTGCAAAATGTTTTTATTTTAAGAATTGACTCTCTGACTTGCTTATCTGAGAAAATAAATGAACAAATAGGTACCTACACTAGAACCTCTCACTCGGGCAACTTTTCTAGATAAATAAATGATTTTTTACAGCATTACTTTCCTAATTTAGTAAATTAAAGCAAATTACTGATTATTCAATCAATTAATTCAGTCGCCAATCAATTTTTATATTTATATAAGTACATATTATATTATATCAATAAAATTATGGCTATAGTTAATTAAATAGTTTATTTTCTTATATTTATTACTTTTCCACGTATCAGTACACAAACATAAAGGAACGCTTGAAGCGGTGGTGCATGTCACACGCGTTGTTCGCGGAATATCATTCGACTCTTATTAATGATTGCCCTTATTATTTATATAATTCACTATATCAATATAAACCATCTAGCTACTTTCTCTTTCGGTAGCCTATGTGATACTCAAGGTTCCTATTTATTTTTATCCTAAATTTCATCAAAATTATAAAACATACAAATTAATATTATCAGTTTTATTCATATCAATACAAAAAAATATTTAAATTGTTAAGCTGCTAGTCTAAACTAGCCACGAAACAATGTAATGAAGATATACATATTCTAGTAGGCTATTCATATTAAAATCAATCAATATGTACCTATAAATATATCAGTACTCACTATAAAATCTACAGTCGTCGGTTATTAGTGATCGTCTATATATGTATGTAAATGAGACTGAAAATGCATTCAACTCTATATATAAGAGCATGCTGCGATGGATAGTAGCAGATAGAGTAAAAAAAATATAATGTACGTATATTAATATAGGTCGTAGATACTAAATTTTGTAATTTGTATGTTTTAGAATAAATAAAAACAAAAAATAAGCTAATTTGGGTTTTTTTAAATATTATTTATTAATTGAAAAAACACGTTATATTTTAAAGCTTTTCAATAGGTATATTTCATAGAGTTAAAATTCGTTTACATATATTAAACTAAACTTATTATATCTTTTCAGATAATATTAACCTTACATCATCTGAAAAGGATCTTCTCTCACTCACATCGGAACTCACAATGCTGTTGACCCTGTGCAAAGGGAAAAATAATCGCTAAAATTCTATAACTATACATAGTATAAAACAGTCGCTGTCTCCATGTCTATTTCTCCGCTTACTTTTTCTAAACCACGCAACAAATTTTGATACGGTTTTCTCTAATAGAAAGAGCGATAAACGAGAAAAGTTTGAGTATATAATTTGTAAATATTTTGTATAAAATGACTGAGCTTACACGGTGTTTTGTTAAAGAAACAGTTTTCGTTAGATTACATGGCTAACGCTGACTAAAACTTTAGAGATAATACTTTCTTAGATTTACGCGAATATTTGACATTTTAATAAAACTATCTTTTCGGATAGTTTCATTTAAAACCCTTAGAGATATATCAAAACATGAAAACAATGTACTACAAAATTATTGTGGGTTTTAAAAAGGCCTACAGAAAAGTCCGCGATAGCATATTATGTCTATCTCCCTAGGTACGATCACAATAACTATTGTTATCTATATAAAACGTTCTAGGGATGCACCCGAGTGTAGCGAGCGTGAGTTGCTAGTATATTACAATATGTAATTCAAAACAGGAATCTGGGAACACGGTAGTGCCACCGCCAAGACGAGCCAAGCGAAGCGCAAGGGCGAATCTGCCAAGCCATATATTTTGACAAAGGTGTAGAGTTTGTGAAGTTAGGGCGTGTAGAGTTAGAAGCTAGGCTCTACGTAAGATCTGATAACTTTTTGACAGCGCAAGCCATATGACCTCGTCTTGGCAACATTTTACATGAAAATGCTTTTAGTGGGATATTATTTACAATAGGGAAGTAGATTTTTTATAGTCATTATAAGCACATAAAACTAGGGGTGCCAGGTGACAACTCAATTGGCAGATGTTAGGAAGTAACGTCTAAACTGGAACTCGAGGGTTGTATAATATGCGGGGATTTTTTCTGCTTTTCTATTTATACTTTCCATTCAAAACATAGAAATTGTATTGTAGTCTTGAGATATAGAAATAACGTTCACATAATACTTACATCACAAGTGGTAACTAGTTCTACACTATAATTGGATTATGAAATGTACAATGAAGAGAACTACTTTAGAACAAATGTTACACACCCTTACATCATAAATACAAATAACTCGATTAATAAAATATTAAATAACTGGTATTTTTCTAACGTAATGTTATTAAAAGGGAATTGCTTTGAATAAAAAATCGATAAATTGTTAAACATAACAAGTAAAAATAAATCACTCTTTCATATACACAAATATGTTGTATAAATCCTTTTTAGATGTTAATTGTTTTCGCCAACCATACCTATACTCGTATTTACCACAACTGTTATGTCTTTTGAAATGTTTAAAGCACGATATATGTTGTCGTAATGCACTTAGTAGGTGATGTTAGGAGTTACGACTTATTTTATTCGTATCTATTTTTCAAACGAGCAATTCAGCCATAAAAGTACCAGACGAAAGCTCGTTAAAAATAACTTTCTCTATATCTCTAACAAAAGAGCGTCTCGACGAGCTTAATCCATTAGCGTGTCTGTAGTTATGTAGGTACTAAGTTGTGGGCGATCTTCGATGCTGGGCGCGCCGGTACAAAATAGACCACGAAGTGAATGAACTCTCCGTTTATTGCTTCACGTCAGATAAAATAGGGGCCGAAATGATTGATAGTCCCCATCAAAGTGAGCTAATCTCGACCCTTGTTCGGGTCGATTATGGCGTAACGCCATAGTCGCAGATTACAGATAGTTGACGTGCTACAAAGAATATATATTTTATATAAATTAATGACAATGCCTTGAGTTATTTCTCAGAAGCGCCAAGGTTGGTAATTCTGGGAAATGCGGGCGCGCCGAGTTACGTGGTGAGCGTGGAGCGAGTGCGGGCGGTGCGCTGCCGTGTTTACCTCGGCGGCGCGTCGGGCGGCCCGCGCTACCAGTCGACTCTCGCACACGACGGAGGAACTACGCCGCTCGGCCCTCATCCTCGAACTTTCACCTCTCGCGATAACTTTATCTGTGATAAATACACCGGCATCGAGTGAAATTGAATGTGCGCGTTCTTAGAAGAAGTTTCTGCGACGGCACGTCGACCAACTGCCGCCGGCGACGTCGATTTCTGCAAATTAATTTCTCCCGTGCATTTCGCTTCCACGAAACCGCTTGTAGTAAAGAGTTTACCGAGAAGCGAAGCAATAAAGTGGATTTGATGAAATATCAGTAATTATAAGTGAACTGTGTTTCCGTGTTCAGTTGCTCCTTAAACGTTTACATTGGATCCCAATCACCCGATCGCACCTCCAATGGTGGTCAAACTACCAGGTGAGAAGTCATATATTTTTCTTATAAATTAAAATATTTATAAAACAACTTGTGTTTATCAGTGAACGTTTAAATCGTGTCACATGAAAGTCATCTCTAATTTAAATAAGAATACGAATACGAGTCTCTACTTACATGTGGCGCCAAATGATATCACAAAGGTCTTCAGGTCATCTACACTATACTTCGTTGTGCTTGTTGGTGCCACACATTTGACCCAGTATTTTTTATCGGCACGACGATATCGTGTTGTTATAACTTAAATTTAATTATAGTTTCTAAACTTTCATTTAGAAATTTCACTTAGAAGATACAAGCGGACTTTCAACAGGTTACCGACTGGCTCACCTTGGCGCGAAACTATTTAAAAAGTAACCGACATTTGGTAGTCCTTTTGTTCACAGAATTTTTTTATATATATACTATAACGAGCTATTTTAATCAATAATCCCACACGTAACATGCGCTCGTTACAAATAAATTATAATATTATCAGATAAAATTGACAAGAGTAATGAGAAATAGCCTTTATGACATAAACAATTAACATGTTTACAGTTCTATTTCTATAACTAATTCTTAATTAAAATTACAATGGAGCAACGGCATTTTTATATCTATACAGAAAAATAAAATTGAAGCGTCTGTTTGTAATGTTAAAATAACAGCTCTTTACTAAATGCGTATGAAATTATGTACGGTACTTATGAGAAAAACACATTTTTTTTGGTCTGTCTGTTTGTTTCGGCTTAACTCCGAAAAGGCTGGTCTGATTTGATTGACTTTCACTGGCAGAAAGCTGATGTTATAAGGAGTAACGCAGGCTACTTTTATTTTCGAAAAAGAATTAAGAGTTCGATCAAAAAAATATAAACGTACCTTGAGACGAACACAAGCGAAGCGAGGGTGATTGGCTAGTAGATATAGTTTAAAGTTAAACGCAGAATTTGATGTTTTTAATTGTAATATCATATTGTATCAAAATGATCATAAATTTTAGAATCAGAATGTCAAATAATACTTTCTTGAATCGCGAATATTTGATTTATTATTTTGATTTTTGGTTCCTGACGTTTCGAATGTTTTACAGCAATCATGGTCACGAAAGAGACTAAGATTTGAGACGACTCAAAAGCATTATATTGTTGTTACAGACAGACTTCGGGAACCAAAAAGCAAAATAAATCCGTGTAAAAATCCGAAAAGATAATTTTATTTAAGAATCAAAATGCCTTTTAATATATCAATGCTTTAAAAAAATAAATAGCTTTTGTTTAATATTGCTATCATTTAAAATGACTTGAGTGTAAGTAGTAACTTACAGTTATTTTACTTAATCGCTTCTTCGTAATACAGAGGCGGAAGTATTATTATCTTTTCCTAGTACTTACTGTGTTATCCGTTGCAAATGGCTACTAACGTGTAATTTCCTATTAAAGCTAAAGTAAATTCTATAATTTTGTTGTTTTTGCGAGTGAATTTTCACAAACTAATGTGCAATGTATATATGTAAATGTCGGTAGCGAAGTAGAAAGTAATGAAGCATATTTTAATGAGAACATACAATGTAATGTACGTACAATGTAATGAACGTACAATATTATTAATCGCATCGTCGCATCGGTTAATTATTATCGTTACTAAACCATGAAGATATGTAAATTATAATCAATATAAACGATTGTCTTTAAAATTTCTAACTTAATCTATAAGTTATGTATGTTTTAAACTAGTTAAACTACAAAACAAAAAATGTAAAGGTATGTAAACCAGATTTTTTTTTGCATTATAAAATAGATATAATTTTTCGGTCTGGATTTTTAACACTTAAATATCTTTAACCATCACCTGCCACCACAGCTGTCATTGCTAACAACATGTTGCAGCGCCATTTCCTCTTAATTAAATTATGTACACTATACTCGTACTTACCAAAATTACAAAATATTTTATTTACAGCTTTATTTAGCTACTTTATAGTTAACTATTTGCTCACCCTCGCTTCGCTCGGGCGCCTCTAGGAACGCAAAAACAAACCTATCCCACGGGAACCGCACATTTTTCCGGGATAAAAGTAGCCTAGGTGTTATTCCACAATATAAACTATCTCTGTGCCAAATTTCGTCCAGATCCGTTCAGTCGTTCTGGCGTAAAAGAGTGACAAACATCCATACATCCATACTTACAAACTTTCACATTTACAATATTAGTATAGATTTATACTCAATAATCTACTTAAGAACTATTCATAAGTCAAAGACCCCTAGTAATCAATAACTACACTATCATAAAATTTGCTAATTTATTTGTATGTATGAGATATTTTTTTAAGGTAATGAGCCAATTCTAAACATTTTACTATTAAAAATCTCTTCTATTTCTGCGTAATACTATTTTTATTTATCACGCAAGCGAACTTTAATACTAGGTACTATTATAAAATATTATGTAATTTGATACATTTCACTGATTGTAATAGTAACTATGCACAGGTAGCGAGTCTGGCTTGCCAACCATGTTTGTCGTGTACAAATAAATGTTATCAGAATACGTAGTTTCATGTATGTAAATATTTTACGTAGTAAAAGGTTAAAAAGGATTTTATGAATTAGATTATATATTCAAGTGTACTGTATGGCCTTCATTTAAAATGTCAACATTGCGGAAATAAATACGTCGTAATGTCTTAATCGCTCGTATTTTCCACATTATAACGATTTTTAATTGGAATCGATACAAAATCGATTACTATTGAAAGTGAAAGAAATTTTTGAATAGGTTTTTAAATTTAAAAAAAAAACTATTTTTTCTCTTTTAAATTTCAGTCAATCACCAGAATAAGCAATTTATTTCGATTCTAAATTTTGTCATCTTTTAAATTATTATTTTACCGTACATGCGGTGCGGAAACAGTATGTATTCGTATGTATTCAGCCCTTTTTACCGTCCCATTACTGATCTTGGAAGAATGCATGGAGAAAATATCAGAGGTGCGAGAACCGGGATTTGAACCCGCTTCACTTAGTTTCCCAAGCGAGCGCGTTACCATTGGTCTACCACTGCCTTCCACTCGCGGAAACAGTATCCTTATAGAATTGTGTCCTATCCTAGCTCACTCGTTCAATTCCTCCGTATGTATTAAGCTGATTGAGCTTCCAATTTTGTATATAGAGCATTTTCGTATGTGTTTTTTATAATAAAAATGACCTAAGCCGGCCCATCTATCTAATACATATAATAAAATACAAATAATAACTTTCTCAATAAACGTTCGATGGAAAAAGTATCAAGGTATTTTGTTGAATTGCAATTATAATTACAATAGCTATGCATACAATGCCACTTTATTTACATATAAAAATTTGTATTCCACAATAATATACACATTTAAACAATAAACAATTATTTGTTTTGCTTTACTATAGATAAAAGTGATTTAATATATGTACTACCATCTTGGTAGTACCATTATTATTTTCTTCTACGGAATATGCAAAGTAATAAACCTTCAATAATAGAATATACATAAAATCTTTTGTTATACGTCGGATAAAATGTTCATCTCCACAAGAACCCGATTCAAATAAAATATGTTGTTTGTATTGGTACTATTTCATTTTAAAGTAATAGAGTACCTACCTACATGCCGTTATTTATTTGCCAGACGGCAAAGTTGGAGTTGATAGGAATTTTAAAAATATACTTACAAAAGAACTTGTCGAGAAAATGTAAGCAACCACTTTCTATTTCCTTTCGTTTTTAACGCATTTTTAACGCTCGTTAACTATTATTATTTTTTTATTTATACATTGCTTAAGTATAATGCTATCTATGGCTTCAGGTTGCCATGGTTATTTTTTCTATTTTAAAAACTTTTCCTTACAAAATCAAGGCATTCCTTAATCGATTTACATGATAGGAATCCAAACAGTGAACCCATTACTAGCCGTACATATTCAAATCAGCGATCATTACTGCCTCACCCGACCGGTTACGAACAATCGCACATTGTTCTCATTTACCAGGAACAGGTAAATCGAGTACCGGGAACCATGCATTTATATCTTCAAAGACAATAGCGTTTTTTACCAACTATTTTTAAGCTTCTAAGAGTCTCTCCATCGATTCTATTGTTAGCCTTTATTATTCTATGTATTGTGATTATTTTCGCTTCGTAGAACGTCTGACAATTTTCTCTTATAATTGTGTCAAGGAAACTTCCTACGTTTCGCACTTGTTACGTTGCGTTACAAATATTTCGTTTTCACGAATCTAAATGACTCGAACTCAACCAATCTAAAATTATACATAAGTTATGTACATACAAAAATCCAATTTTACTAATATTATTATAAATGCGAATGTTTCTCGCAAAAACTACTGAATGAATTTTAATGAAACTCTTCAATAATATAGCTTAGGTACATCTGAATAACACATATGCTACTTTTTATCCCAGAAAAATGTACAGTTCCTGTGGGATAGATTTGTTTCTGTTTTTCTAGAGGCGGAACCGAACGAAGCGAGGGTGAACCACTAGTCACTACATAGTATAAAACAAAGTCGCTTTCTCTGTCCCTATATCCCTATGTATGCTTAAATCTTCAAAACTACGCAACGGATTTTGATGCGGTTTTTTTTAATAGATAGAGTGATTCAAGAGGAAAGTTTTAGTGTATAATTTGTTAAGTTTTTGTATACATTGGCTAAAATATAAGGA